TAGCCATTAAATGGAAATTTACTTGGTTTTCTGTTTTTTTTTTTTTTTTTTGTTTCGTTACAAGACTAATAAACTTTTATTTCAATTTTCTTGGGACAAGCGAAAACTTTTCCCCAAATGCATGGCAAACAATCATCTAAAATTAAGTCTTTAGAATTTATTTTCCTCCACAACTCAGCTCTGGCTTCGTGTTTTACCATTTGAAAATTTAAATAAAGTTAATAAAGAAGAAGAAGCAGAAATCTTCATTGGAAACTTTTTGTCAGCAGCTACCGTTGCTGTCGTCGTTGTCATCATCTTCTTTTCTCTCAAAAGTCTCATCTTTTTTCCAGTTCAACTAGCCTCAATTCCTGCTGGCTTACCTCATTTTACTTTAAATAAACAAAACGTAAATTTCTCTCGAAAAAGGACACAAAAAGTGGAAAGTTTTCTCACAAAAAAAAACGAGTGAGAGATAAACATGAAAAACTCTTCCTCAAATGGTTCATTATTTGCCTGAATGCAGCAGCTGCAGTAGCAGTAGAAGCACCACCAGCAACAGGGGAACCATAACCATACCTCGTAAATAGTTAACTTTGTTCTTAACTTTATGTTAGCCAAACATAATTGGATATTGTTCTCGTTTTTGCGGTAGTAGTGGTGAGGGTGATATTTGATTAAGGCCAGGGAAATTTTTTTTGGAATTTAAATTTTCAAAAAAGAAAAAAAAAATACCGAAATTCCAAGGAATATAAAATAAAATTGAAATAATTATTGAGGTTTTTAAAAAGTTAAAAAAAAACATATGCATATTTTAAGTGTCCAGGGAGGAAACAATAAGTTTTAACATTTAAAATAGCTCATTATGTTAACAACAGGTGATTATTTCGACAGTTCAGCTAATAATAACAGATTTATGTTAATAACAGTGGATTTTGGGGTACTTATGTTAATAACAGAGGACATTTTCCCAATGTATGTTAATAACAGACGACAAATTCAATATTTTATATTAATATTTATGAACTTTTATTAATAACAGACGAAATATTTTGAATTGATATTGTAACAGAAAGCATTTTCCCAACTTATGTTAAAAACAGACTACTTATTCAGGTCAGGCAGTCTCTGTACGGGCTTGAGGGCCAGAGATCCTCTATAGACTAGCTAGAAGATCAGGGAGTCTTTATAGAAGGGCTCGTGGTCCAGGAAGTCTTTATAGACGAGCTGGTGGTCCAGTGAGTCTTTATAGAAGAGCTCGTGGTCTAGGGAGTCTTTATAGACGAGCTGGTGGTCCAGGAAGTCTCTATAGATGAGCTGGTTGTCAGGGAGTCTTTATAGATGAGCTGGTGGCCCATGGAGTGTTTTTAAAAATGAGCTGGTGGTCCAGCGAGTCTTTATAGAGGAGCTGGTTGTCCAGGAAGTCTTTATAGACGAGCTTGTGGTCCAGGAAGTCTTTATAGACGAGCTTGTGGTTCAGGGAGTCTCTATAGATGAGCTGGTGGCCCAGGGAGTGTTTTTACAAATGAGCTGGTGGTCCAGGGAGTCTTTATAGACGAGCTGGTGGTCCCGGGGAACTCTATAGACGAGCTGATGGTCCAGAAAGTCTTTAAAGACGAGCTGATGGTCCAGGAAGTCTTTATAGACGAGCTGATGGTCCAGGAAGTCTTTATAGACGAGCTGGAGGGCCAGGGAGTCTTTATAAACGAGCTGGTGGTTCAGGGAGTCTTTATAGACGAGCTGGTTGTCAAGGGGGTCTTTATAGGCGAGCTGGTGGTTCGGGGAGTTTTTATAAACGAGCTGGAGGGCCAGGGAGTCGTTATAGACGAGCTGGAGGGCCAGGAAGTCTTTAAAGACGAGCTAGTGGTCCAGGGAGTCTTAATAGACGAGCTGGTGGTCCAGGTAGTCTTTATAGAAGATCTGGTGGTCCAGGAAGTCTTTATAGATGAGCTGGTGGTCCAGGGAGTCTTTAAAGACGACCAGGTGGTCCAGGGAGTCTTTACAGACGAGCTGGTGGTCCAGGGAGTCTTTATAGACGAGCTGGTGGTCCAGGGAGTCTTTATAGATGAACTGGTGGTCCAGGGAGTCTTTAAATACGACCAGGTGGTCCAAGGAGTCTTTATAGACGAGCTTGTGGTCCAGGGAGTTTTTATAGATGAGCTGGTGGTCCAGGGAGTCTTTATAGACGAGCTGGTGGTCCAGGGGGTCTTTATAGACGAGCTGGTGGTCCAGAAGTCTTTATAGACGAGCTGGTGGTCCAGGGAGTCTTTATAGACGAGCTGGTGGTCCAGCAAGTCTTTATAGACGAGCTGGTGGTCCAACAAGTCTTTATAGACGAGCTGGTGGTCCAACAAGTCTTTAAAGACGAGCCGGTGGTCCAAGGAGTCTTTAAAGACGAGCCGGTGGTCCAGGGAGTCTTTATAGACGAGCTGGTGGTCCAGGGAGTCTTTATAGACGAGCTGGTGGTCCAGGGAGTCTTTATAGACGAGCTGGTGGTCCAGGGAGTCTTTATAGACGAGCTGGTGGTCCAGGGAGTCATTATAGACGAGCTGGTGGTCCAGGAAGTCTTTATAGACGAGCTGGTGGTCCAGGGAGTCTTTATAGACGAGCTGGTGGTCCAGCGAGTCTTTATAGAAGAGCGGGTGGTCCAGAGAGTATTTATAGATAAGCTGGTGGTCCAGGGAGTCTTTATAGACGAGCTGATGATCCAGGAAGTCTTTAAAGACGAGCTGGTGATCCAGAAAATCCTTATAGACGAGCTGGTGAGCCAGGGAGTCTTTATAGACGAGCTGGTGGTCCAGGGGGTCTTTATAGGCGAGCTGGTGGTCCAGGGAGTCTTTATAGACGAGCTGGTGGTCCACGGAGTCATTATAGACGAGCTGGAGGGCCAGGGAGTCTTTATAGACGAGCTGGTGGTCCAGGGAGTCTTTATAGATAAGCTGGTGGTCCAGGGAGTCTTTATAGACGAGCTGGTGGTCCAGGGGGTCTTTATAGGCGAGCTGGTGGTCCAGGGAGTCTTTATAGGCGAGCTGGTGGTCCACGGAGTCTTTATAGACGAGCTGGAGGGCCAGGGGTCTTTATAGACGAGCTGGAGGGCCATGGAGTGTTTATAGATGAGCTGGTGGTCCAGGGAGTCTTTATAGGCGAGCTGGTGGTCCAGGGAGTCTTTATAGGCGAGCTGGTGGTCCAGGGAGTCTTTATAGACTAGCTGGATGGCCAGAGGATCTTTATAGACGAGCTGGTGGTCCAGGAAGTATTTATACATATATTATTATACGATCGATTAATGTGAGCGGAGAGCGACCAGAGCTGTTATGACAGCCCTCACCATCAACACACCATGGCCGGCGCTTGAGTTCTGGTGGCCACCCGTAGGTGCACATTTTCAGCTGACCTCTTTGGCAAGTACGATCACGATCATTTTGTTTGTTTACAAACTGCTGGCCTACGAATATTTTCTCATCGGAGACAACCAAAACCAAATTCGGCAGTTCACCACTTTCGACCAAGCGAAGCAACTCTTTAGCTCTTTTGAGTCTATTTTCTTTCTTTCGATTGCGGTGTAAGTTCTTGCAGTTTTTGGAATTTCAATGGCTTCACCCCGAGCTCAGTTTTCAATATATGCCGAATGGAATATTGCGATATGTTCAGCTCACAAGCCATTTTTCGGCCATTGCGATGCGGGTCTCGATCAAGTCGCTTCTTTACTTTTCCAACCATTTCTGCTGATGTTGCTGTTTTCTTTCGCCCACTTCTTTGACGTCGGGCTAGGCTACCAATAACAGTATCACGGTAACGAGCGATGGTACGAGACACAAAAGATTTATTCACATTTAAATGCTGGAGTGTTCTAACCATAGCCACTTGTGGTTCTCCAGCCAAATATAAAAAAATCACACTATCACGCTTGAGTTCCACGACGAATAACTTTTCTTCTGCAAAAACTCTCACCAAAATTCTTTTGTACGCTTGTCAGCAATATAATATTCTGTCACTGGAATAATTTTAACAGCTGTCGGACGAGTGGCTTAGAAATGATAGCAGTCTGAAGTTGCTGGCAGTTTTTTCATCTCACCTGTGGTTTGAGACATAGTTTGCAATAATTAAAACAGAGTTTTGAAATTTGACAGAAAACTAGGGATTATATCCAGAATTATTGTCGCGGAATATGGGTTATATCAGGTTCACTATTTGGAATAGGGTCCATGGTAGGATAACTTCGATTCCAAGTATACCTTACGTTTTGGCCATTTAATCTGGCCAAATTTTAGCATTTGAAGTTCTTACAAAACGCAATTTACAAAATATAGGTCCACCTTCAGGTGCAGAATTTATATAATACCCCCTGATTTTTATAATTATACCCCATATTTCCCCCACTGTGGCTGCACAGTGTTATTAGCCATCATATCCTGAAAAAAAAATTCCAAAAAAAAATTCATCTATTAAAATTATTCCTCAAAAATTCCCCATATCCCAAAATATGATCAGACCACTTACTCAAACATCCGATTATTATTTTGGGGTTTCCATCCTGCAAACAGGCTCAAAGTTACAGCAGGAGGGCGAAAATCGAATGAAATATATTTCAATTAAATATTGTCAAACTGTTATCTCACCGCATCCCCATCCTTCCCCTACTTCCCTCTCGCAAAATGCATACACATCATTTTTATTTACTATCCTGGTGAGTCAGACCTCCTGCCGATATTCTATAGATATGTGTCTTTCGAACGAAACCACATTTTATTATTATTTTGTCAATATATTTCCTGTCATTTATCGTCATTTTTCTGCTCTTGCCACACATAAACACATATCAGTTTTATTAACTTCCTACCCCTACCCCTACCTCCCTACCCTACCCCTACCTCCCACCCTCCACATCCAATACCCTTACACACCACAATCTCTCGGCAAAATCAATAAATGACATTTAATTAAATTCTCCCCCTCCTTGCCTCGATAATTTATCTCCTGCTCACCACGTTTGTCTTCATCTTTTTTTTTCTGTTTTGCAGACCACCGGTTTCGGCGGTTTACCAGATGTCACCGAGCACTCCAACATACGACGCAATATCTCCCGCCAAAATTCCACCTCCAACAGTGACTCCGGTGGCGAAATCGCCAGCATACAAAAGTCAAAGGTAAACTTCAACGACACCAAATCCCCCTCCGATGTGGGCGACCCGCTGGCCGGCGATGTGACCACCGCAGCCGCCAAGGCAGCCAAACGCAAATCGAAAGCCTCCCAACAGCATGGCCACGGCATGGTCGGTGGTGGCCAACACAAGTTGACCGGCCGCAATTCCTGCGTCATTGGTCTGACGTTGGTGGTGGCCCTGTCGCTGTTGGCCGTGGCGGCCACACTGCTGTATCAGCATTTCGTCATGGCGCCCAGCCGCAACTCACACACACAAAGACTGAAGATTGTCAAGCGGATATTGCGGGATGTGCCGCTGGTGGATGGGCACAACAACTTTGCGTGGAACGTGCGTAAATATGCCCACAGCAGTCTGGAGCTGGTGCATGTCAGCAATGACATAAATCATAAATCGATGTGGGTGCGACCGGCGTGGGCCCAAACGGATATGGAGCGGCTGAAGATGGGTCAAGTGGGTGTGCAAGTGTGGTAAGTGAAATGAATATTCAAAATTTGAATGTGTGTGTGTGTCTGAGTGGAAGGAAAATATTGATATAGCAGCATGCGAAAGGATGTGAAGAGAGAGGGAGAGAGTGAGATCCTGCCAAATTGTTGTTGTTGTTGTTTATTGAATGAAAACGAAAATTCTTGAAAAAAATCGAAAATGAAAAATTAAAATCAATCCTCTGGCCACCAAAGACCAGCTGGCCAGCAGCTCAGCTCGCTTTTAGAGAGTCCAGCTGGTCAGCAGCTCAGCTCGTCTATAGAGAGACCAGCTGGCCAGCAGCTCAGCTCGTCCTAAGAGAGACCAGCTGGCCAGCAGCTCAGCTCGTTTATAGAGAGACCAGCTGGCCAGCAGACCAGCTCGTCCTAAGAGAGACCAGCTTGCCAGCAGCTCAGCTCGTCTATAGAGAGACCAGCTGGCCAGCAGCTCAGCTCGTCTATAGAGAGACCAGCTGGCCAGCAGCTCAGCTCGTCTATAGAGAGACCAGCTGGCCTCCAGCTCGTCTATAGAGAGACCAGCTGGCCTCCAGCTCGTCTATAGAGAGACCAGCTGGCCTCCAGCTCGTCTATAGAGAGACCAGCTGGCCTCCAGCTCGTCTATAGAGGACCAGCTGGTCACCAGCTCGTCTATAGAGGACCAGCTGGTCACCAGCTCGTATATAGAGGACCAGCTGGTCACCAGCTCGTCTATAGAGGACCAGCTGGCCTCCCAGCTTGTCTATAGAGGACCAGCTGGCCTCCCAGCTTGTCTATAGAGGACCAGCTGGCCTCCCAGCTTGTCTATAGAGGACCAGCTGGCCTCCCAGCTTGTCTATAGAGGACCAGCTGGCCTCCCAGCTTGTCTATAGAGGACCAGCTGGCCTCCCAGCTTGTCTATAGAGGACTAGCTGGCCTCCCAGCTCGTCTACAGAGGACCAGCTGGTCACCAGCTCGTCTACAGAGGACCAGCTGGCCACCAGCTTGTCTATGGAGGACCAGCTGGCCTCTCAGCTCGTCTATGGAGGACCAGCTGGCCCCCATCTCGTCTATAGAGGAACAGCTGGCCACCAGCTCGTCTATAGAGGACCAGCTGGCCTCCAGCTAGTCTATAGAGGACCACCTGGCCACCAGCTAGTCTATAGGAGACCAACTGGCCTCCAGCTAGTCTATAGGAGACCAGCTGTCCTCCAGCTAGTCTATAGAGGACCAGCTGTCCTCCAGCTAGTCTATAGAGGACCAGCTGTCCTCCAGCTAGTCTATAGAGACCAGCTGGCCACCAGCTCGTCTTTAGAGACCAGCTGGCCACCAGCTCGTTTTTAAAGACCAGCTGGCCACCAGCTCGTCTTTAAAGACCAGCTGGCCTCCAGCTCGTCTATGGAAACCGGCTGGCCTCCAGCTCGTCTATGGAAACCGGCTGCCCCCCCAGCTCGTCTATGGAGACCAGCTGCCCCGCCAGCTCGTTCATGGAGACCAGCTGCCCCGCCAGCTCGTCTATAGAGACCATCTGGCCCCCGGATTATCTATGGAGGACAAGTTGGCAACAGCTCGTCCATAAGAGACCAGCTGGGCAACAGCTCTTCTATAGAGACCAGCTGTCCTCCAGCTCGTCTACAGACACCAGCTGGCCTCCAGCTCGTCTATGGACACCAGCTGGCCTCCAGCTCGTCTATGGAGACCCAGTTGGCCTCCAACTAGTCTAGAGAGGACCAGCTGGCCTCCAGTTAGTCTATAGAGCACAAGCTGGCTTCCAGCTAGTCTATGGAGACCAGCTGCCCCGCCAGTTCGTCTATAGAGACCCGCTGCCCCGCCAGCTCGTCTATAGAGACCAGCTGGGCAACGGCTCTTTTTTACAGACCAGCTGGCCTCCAGCTCGTCTATAGAGAAGGGCTGGCCTCCAGCTAGTCTATAGAGACGGACTGGCCTCCAGCTCGTCTATAGAGGACCAGCTGGCCTCCAGCTCGTCTATAGAGGACCAGCTGGACTCCAGCTTGTCTATAGAGGACCAGCTGGTCTCCAGCTCTTCAATAGAGGACCAGCTGGGCTCCAGTTAATCTATAGAGGACCAGCTGGGCTCTCAGCTTGTCTCTAGAGGACCTGCTGGCCTCCTAGCTTGTCTCTTCAGGACCAGCTGGCCTCCCAGCTTGTCTCTTGAGGACCAGCTGGCCTCCCAGCTTGTCTCTAGAGGACCAGCTGGCCTCCCAGCTCATCTATAGAGACCAGCTTGCCTCCAGCCAAACTATAGCTCGCCTGTGGAGACTCCCTCCAGATTCCTTGTGTTGAATCTACTCGAATTAAATTTCTTAAATTCTCATAAACGTTTACCTTGCCAAGAGTTCTCCTTACCCAACCTCCATGCATCACATATCTTGCTGTTTAAGTGTAAGCTTCGAAAATTCCTTTTGAAAATCCTTGCCACAGTTTTCGCAATAATTTGCAATATTTCTTTGGCTTATTGTGTTCGGAAAGAGTCGAGCATGTTTGCCGAGTAAATATAATTTCATATTTGCAACGTCATCAGTTGCTCAGAAGCGCCTTGTGTGTGCCAAAGGATAATGTTCTGGACAAGACATTATTTGCACACACACACGGACACACACATGGACGAATTCGATGTGGCCATAACCAGAGCATAGTTTGGAGGTGTTCAGGTGTATCCATAAGTGATGAAATTTTCATGAGAATACCGAATGCATTTGAATGCATTTTTACTCATAAATGAAGTTTTCCGCAAAGGAAGAAGAGGATGAAACTGGACATGGTTGCTTGTAGATGTGTTTCTGGGTGACTTCATTTCTTTGGAACAAGCATGTTTTTCCGGCAGGTTATGAAATTGGTCATTTTGAAGTTCGTTAGGGGTATTGAACATTTTTTTTCCACAAAGAATTTTCATTCTAGGAAATTCTATAAATGAATGGAGTCTTCTCAACCTCCACCCCTTAACTGGAGGTTGAAAAAATAGTTTTCTTTCTTCCCCTCCCCCAAGAACTTCCTTCAAATGTTCAAGTCAATCGAAGCATTAAATGAAAAACTCATCATCATTTTGATTGAGTTTCGTGCTGTGAATTTTCCAATTCAATTTTCAATTTGTAATTCGGAACATTAATCCGAACGTGTTCTAATCCATAACAAAAAGTTAGCCAACAAATTGTTTAAAATTTTCTATTAATTCACTTCACTGAGCCCGGACAATGGCACCCCAGTCATTCATAGTTCTCATAGCCTCTAATTTGTTATTCAAATTTTAGAAAAAAAAAACCGAAATTCCGAAAAGTCCATTGTCCATAAAAAAACATATCTGCCGACATTTCATTTGTTAATTCAATTCCGAAATCCGCCAATTTATTGTTTTCAATTTATTTTGATTTATTCATTGAAATGCTGTGATGACAACATCCTACGCCTCCCACTCCTCCTCCTCGGCCTCGTTGTCATCGTTCTGCAGGATCTTAACAATAGGCGTTGACAATTTTCCGCTAGTTGAACAGGAAATACGTGATTTTAGATGCATCACTCACACCGCCAGCATCCTGGGGGCTGAGGAGGGGAGTGGAGGGGTGAAAAATTTCATGGCAACTGGCCATTTGAAACACAACACCGTTTTGAAAAAAAAAAAACAACAACAAATCTATGCTCCCTACCATTAGTTTGAGAATTGTGTGTTCAGGTGTCTGCCCTGAGGCAAATCATGGACAAATCCATGGCAAGTGAGATAATAAATGGAGAAATGGTTGTTGGAATGCAAATCAAAATACCTATACATACACAACATAGCACACAAATACACCTACAGAAAATAAGTGATATTTGAAAACAATGTTGGAAAGGCGATTTTTAATAGGCGACAGAAGGTAGTTTCTCTGGACAAGGTGGAGGGAGTCTCCATAGCCAAAATATAGTTCGTTTTCACAACCAAACTGGAGAAAACTGGTCGGAGTCATCATAGAAGAACAGTAAGAAGTCTCCATAGACCAAGTGGAGGAAGTGGGGTGTCTAAATAGACGAATTTGAGGAAGTCTCCACAGCCCACCTGGAGGGAGTCTCCTTCGAACAACTGGACAGAGTCATCATAGGCGGAGGAAGATTCCATAGACGAACTGGAAGAAGTGTCCATACACTAACTGTAGACAGTCTCAATTGTCGGACCGAAGGGTGTCTAAATAGACGAATTGGTGGAAGTCTTCATAGCCCAACTGGAGGGAGTTTCCATTGACCAGAGTCATCACAGACGAACTGGAAGAAGTCTCTATAAACAAAGTAGAGAAAGTCTCTTGGGATGAGCTGAAGGGAGTTTCCATAGACGAACTGAAAGAAGAACCCATAGACGAGCTGTAGGTAGTCTCAATTGACGGACTGGAAGTTTTCTACATAGACGAATTCGAGGAAGTCTCCATAGCCCAGTCTCCTTTGAACAAGTATGGAGAAAGTCTCTGTGGACGAGGTGGAGGAAGTGTCCATAGACGAAGTGGAAGAAGTGCCCATAGACGAACTGTAGGTAGTCTCAATTAACGGGCTGGAGGGTATCTAAATAGACGAATTGGAGGAAGTCTCCATAGCCCTACTGGAGGGAGTCTCCATTGACTAACTGGTCGGAGTCATCACAGATGAACTAGAAGAAGTTGCCCAGAACCAAGTGGAGGAAGTCTCCATGGACGAGCTGGAGGAAATTTCTATAGACAAACTGAAAGAAGTGCCCATAGACGAGCTGTAGGTCGTCTCAATTGACGAACTGGAGATTGTCTACAAAGACGAACTGGAGAAAGTCTCCATAGCCCTTGGTCGGATTCATCACAGACGAACTGGAAGAAGTCTCCATTAACCAAGTGGAGAAACTCTCCATGGACGAGCTGGTGGGAGTTTCCATAGAAGAACTAGAAGAAGTGTCCACAGAAGAACTGTAGGTAATCTCAATTAACGGGCTGGAGGGTGTCTAAATAGACTAATTGGATGAAGTCTTCATAGCCCAACTGAAGGGAGTCTCCATTGACTAACTGGTCGGAGTCATCACAGATGAACTAGAAGAAGTCTCCATAAACCAAGTGGAGAAAATCTCCATGGATGAGCTGGAGGAAGTTTCCATAGACGAACTGAAAGAAGTACCCATAGACGGGCTGTAGGTAGTCTCAATTGACGGACTGGAAGTTATCTACATAGACGAATTCGAGGAAGTCTCCATAGCCCAGTCTCCTTTGAACAAGTGTGGAGGAAGTCTCCGTGGACGAGCTGGAGGAAGTGTCCATAGACGAAGTGGAAGAAGTGCCCATAGACGAACTGTAGGTAGTTTCAATTAACGGGCTGGAGGGTATCTAAATAGACGAATTGGAGGAAGTCTCCATAGCCCTACTGGAGGGAGTCTCCATTGACTAACTGGTCGGAGTCATCACAGATGAACTAGAAGAAGTCGCCCTGAACCAAGTGGAGGAAGTCTCCATGGACGAGCTGGAGGGAATTTCTATAGACAAACTGAAAGAAGTGCCCATAGACGAGCTGTAGGTCGTCTCAATTGACGAACTGGAGATTGTCTACAAAGACGAACTGGAGAAAGTCTCCATAGCCCTTGGTCGGATTCATCACAGACGAACTGGAAGAAGTCTCCATAAATCAAGTGGAGAAACTCTCCATGGACGAGCTGGAGGGAGTTTCCATAGACGAACTGAAAGAAGTACCCATAGACGAGCTGTAGGTAATCTCAATTGACAGACTGGAGGTTGTCTACATAGACGAATTGGAAGAAGTCTCCATAGCCCAATTGGAGGGAGAGATTGACCAACTGATCGAAGTCATCATAGACGAACTGGAAGAAGTCCCCATAGACCAAGTGGAAGAAGTCTCAATCGACCAGCTGGAGGAAGTTTCCATAGACGAACTTACAGAAGTGTCCATAGACGAGCTGTAGTAGTAGTCTCAATTTACAGACTGATGGGTGTCTAAATAGAGGAGTTGGAGGAAGTCTCCATTGAACAATTCTAGGAAGTCATCATAGACGAACCGGAAGAAGTCCCCAAAGACCAATTGGAAGAAGTCTCCATCGACGAGCTGGAGGGAGTTTCCATAGACCAACTGGAGGAAGTCTCCACATGCCAAATAGAAGAATGCTCCACAGACGAAGTGGAAATAGTCTCCATGAATGGGCTAAAGGGCGTCCTTATAGACGAGCTTACAGAAATCTTCTCGAGCGAGCTTAAGGTCATGGGTCTCCATAGACGGGCTACATGCCAAAGAGTCTCCAAAGACGAACCTGAGGCTTATGGAGTCGCCATAGCCGAGAGGTTCTCTGCAGACACCCTATAGGGAGTTTTAATACCCATTCTTTAGTCAGTCTATATATGTCAGCTGAAGGCCAAGGGAGCCTCTATAGATGAGCTGAAAAAAAGAACGGAGCAAAATCAGGTGTTTTTCTTCGACGAGCTTACAGAAATTTTCATAAACGACCTGGAGGTCATTGATCTCCATAGACGAGCTACAGGCTAAAGAGTCTACATAGACGAACCTGAGGCCTAGGAAGTCTCCAAAGCCAAGGGGTGCTCTACCCACACATTTTAGAATGTTTTAATAGCCATTCTTAAGTCAGTCTATATATGTCAGCTGAAGGTCAAGGGAGCCTCTAAAGATGAGCTGAAAAATAGAACGAAGACGATTTGTACAAATCGTCGGAGAATCGGAGTAGAATTAGAAATTTTTCGACGAATTAGAAGAAGTATTTTTTAAAAAGTTGAAATGATTCTTTTTCGACGAATCGGGAGGTGTTTTTTCCGACGATTTCGGATCCTCAACAGATGAGCTGAAAAAAAGAACGAACACGATTTGTACAAATCGTCGGAGAATCGGAGTAGAATTAGGATTTTTTCGACGAATTAGGAGAAGTCTTTTGAAAAAAATTTGAAAGGAGTCTTTTTCGACGAATCGGGAGGTGTTTTTTGCGACGATTTGTACAAATCGTCGTAAAATCGGAGTAGAATTAAGTGTTTTTCGACGAATTGGAAGAAGTCTTATTCGACGAGTTGGAAGGGGTATTTTTCGACGAGTTAGAGGGCATATTTCTCGACGAGCCTTAATAAACTAGTTAAAATCAGTGAGTCAAAAATGAGAAGAAAATATAGAAGTCGTGTCAACTTACGGAGCCAAAGTCAGAGAGCCCTTATACACGTGCTGAGCGAAAATAAAATCCTAAATTTCATATTTCCTTCAAAATCGACGAGTTTTTTCAAAGATATCCCATGAAATAACAGTAGGTCCAAACCATATGTCACTCAACTGTTGGAAAATGTCACCAAGATATCCTTGATGTCTATGAAAATACCAAAGTCTTTTCATATGTGGCCTCCAAAAGCCAAATAGTTCACAACTGTATCCTCGTTAGCTCCTCAATCCTTGAACGTTTCCCCAATGTGTCCTTAAAAATTCTTGAATTTCTTAAAGTAATTCTGGGGATTTATTCAAAAGTTCTCAAGATATCCTTGAAGGCCTATAACTTTCTCAAAAGTGTCCTTAAAAGGCGGTGGTCTCCGAAAAATACCTCCTTAAAGAAATTCTCGAAACTCAAATTAATTTCTCAAAAAAATATTCAAATATATCCTTGAAAATCAATTCAAATTTTTCAAAAGTTCTCGAAGCTATCTCTGAAAATCCTCGAAAATTCACTCATATCCTGAAAAGTGTCAACAAGATATTCTAGAAAATTCTCGAGTTCCTCTGGGGTATCCTTGAAAATACCCGAGTTTTTCTTAAAAATGTCATTGAAAAATCGAAAAGTTTCTTAAACACATCCTTGAAAACTTCGTAGGGATGTCATCAAAAATCTCCCAGTTTCTCATGTCCTTAAAACTCTTTGATAATTTCGCGAAGGTGTCCTTGAAAATTTTCAGATTTCATAGGTTTGTCGCTCAAAATGGCCACGATTCTTTAAGATATCATTGCAGGGCTTGTCTTAATCCCATGAGATTTTTCCAGGGATATCTTTGAAAGTTCATTTATATATTTAAGAAGTTCTCGAAGACATGCTGAGAAAAACACGAATTTCTAAGAATGTCCTTGAAAATCTCCAGGTTCCCCTACAATGTCCTTAAAAATCTGAAAATTTCATAAAAACTGGTATCCCTCGAAAAAAAATCCTCGAAAAGACCTTCAAATCCTTTAAAGTTTCTCAAAGACTTCCTTGAGAATCCAAAAAGATTCCGAAAGATATCCTTGAAAATCCTCCTTAATCTTCATAATATTATCAAAGATGCCTCGAAAATCTACGATTTTGATAAGGATTTCATTGAAAAAAGTTTTACAGAGAGTCCCTTTAAAACTTGGAATTTCTCAAATATGTCTTTCAAAATGCCGGAGTCTCGCAAAGATATCCTCGAAAAGCCCCTCAAAACCATCAACATTTCGCAAAGATATCCTTTATAAATCTAGAAGTTTCTCAAATATATCCTTCAAATTCCTCAAGCATCCTGAGGATATAACTTGAAATCCACCAATCTTTAAAAGGAAGACAAATTTTATAAAATCAGGAGAAATATCCTTCTTCCTATCTTAGAGAATACACGGGGTCCTAAAGGATATCCCTGAAAATCCAGAAAATCGTCTTCAAGACAACTTTGAGAAATTCCGAGATTCTAAAAGATGTCTCTGAAAAATTTAAAATTTTTATTCGGAAATATTCTTGAAACCCCATTAGTTTCTCAAATACATATTTTAAAATGCGGGTGTCCTTCAAAGATATCCCCCAAAAGCCCCTTAAATCTTAAAAAAATATCCCGAGGTATCTTAAAAAATTCACTTTTGGATATCCTTAAAATCCTTGAAAATCCATTGAAATTCCTAAAATTTACTTTTGGAGATCCTTGGAAATCCATTGAAATTCCTAACATTTTCTTAAAGATTCTAAAGAATATATATTTAAAAATCCATTCACATCCTTGAAAAAGGACATGTGGATAATTCTGGAATCTACAATCCCGATGGGTTTTAATATGGCACAGAAAATCATTTTAACCTTCCCTTATAATTCCACAAATAATTTTCTTTCATTCCCAACCCATCCTCGTTTTTTGTTTTCCTGCCAAGAAAATTCAAAGCCTAATAGAAGAAATACAAAAACAGCAGCAACAACAACAATAATGTCCTTAGATTTGTACATAAATATTTATGACACGAAACTAATGCCAATTTAATCAAACTGGAGCAAAAGTGTTTGCAATAATTTCTAGTTTTGTAAAGTGGAGGCCGGGTGGAGGATGCCACCATGGCTGAAGGAAAAAGATCTCCCCTGTCTCTCCCTCTCTCTCTCTTTACACAAATGGCCAAAGACAAATTTGCATTTATTGGCATTTATTCGTCTGCTTTTTTGTTTGCCTTCCAAAATTCAAACAACAACTGCAACTAATGACCCAACATTTGTACTTTCTTCCCCCTCCCGTCTCTCATTACAGGTCAGCCTATGTGCCATGCGAAGCCCAGGGCTTGGATGCTGTCCAATTGGCACTGGAACAAATCGACATAATCAGGCGCCTGACAGACATGTATCACCAGGACACGGTGTTGGTGCAGTCGTCGAAGGACATTCAAATGGCCCAGAGGCAGGGCTTAATCTCCTCACTGATTGGCATTGAGGGTGGTCATGCAATTGGCTCTTCGCTGGGGGTTTTGAGATCCTTTTACTCCTTGGGCGCCCGCTACTTGAGTTTAACCCATAAATGTGACGTGTCCTGGGCCGGCTCGAGTTCGACGGCCATTGATGCAGGGCTGTCGCAGTTTGGCAAGGCCATTATACGGGAAATGAATCGTCTGGGCATGATGATCGATTTGTCCTATAGCTCAGATAATACCGCCAGGGATGTGCTGTCCGCCACCAGGGCTCCGGTGATTTTCTCCCATTCGGGCGCCAGACAATTGTGCAACTCCACGAGGAATGTTCCGGATGATATTCTACGCCTGGTGGCTGAAAATGGAGGACTGGTAATGGTGAGTTTTGATTCTGAGGATGTGGCCTGTGGCCGCCAGTCCCGTCTCAAGGATGTGGTGGACCACATCAAGTATATCAGGACCATTGCTGGCATACAACACATTGGCCTGGGCGCAGGATATGATGGCATTGAACTGCCACCCATTGGCCTGGAAGATGTCTCCAAATATCCCGATTTGTTGGCCACACTCCTGGAGGATCCCAACTGGAGTGAGGAGGACATTGCCATGTTGGCGGGTAAGAATTTCCTACGCATCATGGAGACGGTGGAGAATGTGCGCGACTATTGGAAACGGGCAGCCATACAACCCATTGAACAGACTGAACCCCAGCCCAAGAGTCAGTGTGCCTATATGGCATCGTGACCCCAGGCCCAGGCAGTGGTGCGTAAGACCCGTTATGCCGATTTCTGGCATTACGAAGCGCAGCAAGAAAATGAGACCCAGGTCGAGGGACATCAACAAAACAGCCCAAAATCAGCGGCTGTTTCTCTCAAGGCCCTGCCATGGATGGTGAGCAGGGAGCCTGGTATGGAAGCAACGGAAACAAATAATCAAACCCAAAAATCAACAATGACTCGAAGTGAAGTTGGTCAACAATTAGAGATATTGAAATTTAATTTCTAGATAGCGAACGAAAGAAGAAGAAGAAGAAGCACAGAGTTGAAAGGTATTTGGTAATCGTATAACCCTTTTGATTACCCCCCACACATGTATTTAATGCATTACATGGTAATGCATGAAGTAAGCGCAAGCAAAATGTTTTAGTCTTAAGTCTTTGATATGAAAAATGAGTATTGAAATTTGAATACAAATCAAATAGATGAGAGTAAATCGTCTCTAAAGAGAATGCTAAGAGTTATTGGTATTATTGAGAATTTTTATTTGAAAAAAAATGGAAAAAAAAACTAAAAAAAAAATCATTCGAAATCTGTGATTTTCAAAATTATAAAATTAAAGAAAAAAATTATATAAAATTTTCAGTGAATATAAACTTTATTATTTTTCTTTCTTTAAATAAAAAATATTTCTAATTTTTATTATTTTTTTATTTATTTATTTATTTTTTTTTTTTGGAAAAAAAGAGAGGAAATTTTCAAAAAAAAAAAAAAAAATATTGATTCATATAACTTTTTGTGATTTTTATATACATGGGTTCAGAATTTTTTTAGTTTAATCTTAAAAAAAAAAAAGATTTGTATAAATGAAAATTCCAAGAAAGAAATAATTTTTCAAAATCTTCATCAAATAAATTATATAATAAACCTTAACGGATTTTCTTTCCATATTTTGAGTTTTGAAGTTAAATTCAAGTCATCCTCGAGTTTCTCAGAAATATTCTTCAAAAAACCAAGAGTTTCCCAAAGATATGACAGGCAATCGCCCATTTCTCACAGACTCCCCGAAAAACTAATGAATTTTTCAACGCTATCGTTAAAAATTGACTCTCAAACTCTCACATTTGTTTCAAATTTAATTTAAAAAAAATCGAACTTTTCAAGTATGTCCACTCCAATTCTTAAAAATTTCCCAAAATATTCTTAAATATTGAAGAATTTTTTTTTAGATTTATTTCATCAGAAAAATACTCTTAAAAATCCAAGACCTTCTCAATAATATCCTTGAATATCGTGGAGACTCTTAAAGACGTACTCGAAAATTCGGGAGGGAAAAATTACCTTGGAAATCATGAAATTTCCCACAGATATCGTTAAAGACCCACTCAAATTCTTATTTCAGTTTTTGTCAGAGGTAATTAAAGTCAAATATATCCTTGAAATAGCAAGTGCTTCCCAAGGATATTTTTTAAATGCTCTAATCTGTTCAAAAATATCCTGGAAAATCCACAACAATATTTAACAATTTCTCACAGATACAATTGATGATCCTGTGCATATCAGGCCATACTGAGTAATCCTCAAGATTTTCAAAAAGTTCCTAGAAATACAAAAGTTTCCTAAAGATACCTATGAGATACCTTACAAATCCTTACAATTTTCTGAAATTATCCCTAAAAAAAATTCTTCAAGGAATTTCTTCAAGATATCGTAGAAAGTCTCATCAAAAACTGTCTCTAAATTGCTGCTAAAAAAAACTACAAGCATCTCAAATTCTCAGGGAGTTTCCCACAAGTTTTTTCAGGATATCCTGGAAAATCTAGTTAAATCCTTTAAATGCTCTTGGATTTATCCATAAAAATCCACAAGTATTTTAAGATATCCTTGAGAACTCCATGGTTCTCAAAGATGTCCTTAAAAATGCTGGAGTATTCCTACTCTGAAATATATTCTTGAAAATCCAAATCTATAAAAATTTCCTAATGTTTTGACATTTCATCTGCTTCTCAAATATATCCTTGAAGATTTTCGAATTTCTCAAGGACATCGTAAAATTGTTGAGGTTTTTAAAAACTATATAAAAACGTTTGAAAGCGGTCAATAAATATCCTTCAGTTCCATAAAATATCCTTGAAAATCGAGTTTTTGGCAAAATCTAGTCAAATCCTTCAAAAATTCTCAAAGATTTTCTCTTCGTGAAAATTTTAAGTTATTTTTGACAATGCCCTGGCTTCTGAAAGGTGTCCTTAGAAATTCAGGAGTATTTTTTCCACAATTTCTTAAATATGTCCTTAGTATTTTTTTTAGAAAATACAAGTGTTTTTTTTCCATCCTTTGAAAATCTGCAAGGCTTACTACCAGTTCTTTCACCCTAAAAAATACATGGTCTGTTCTTCAGTCTTCCACAAATACTCGAACATATTTCCCATTAATGATTCTATCTAACCTCGAAGATCCTCGATTATTAATGAAATTCTAAAAGAATTTTTTGAAAGTCCCACTCTCAAAAATTCGTCAAATATTTATCCATTCCCTTATCCTATCCTTCCTGTCTAGTCTATCGAAAATCCCCGTGCATCCTCTCCTATCCCCAAACCAAACCAAGATTATTTCCCAAACTCTTCGAAAATCCAAGAGTATTCCTAATACCTCTTGAAAGGCCAAGGTTATTTCCTCCATTCTTTCAAAATTGACTAGTATTTCCCGTATCTCACCAAAATCAATCAAAAATTTTCCCAGCCCTTAAACATTCACAAATACTTCTATCACCTTTTGAGAATATACGTTTTATCCCATCCTCCAAGGATCCACTAGCATTTTCCCTTACCTCTGGAAAACCCAAGGATATTTCTTGCATTATTCGGAGGATTTTTCCCTTCTCTCGCAAATATACAAGAGTTGCTTCCATCTGTCGAAAATACACCTTCATTCGAAGAGCCAAGACTATCACTCCCCTCAATCGCAGATATAGGGGAATTTCTTTAAACCACGAATTTTCCTAGGACATGCCTTGAAAATCCAAGAGTATTTCTCATAATGTGTTCCGACATAATTTCACTAGAATTCCTCTAACCCCCCAAAAGAATTCGCAAATTTTTCTGTCATCCTTTGAAATTCCCCAATTTTTGGTCCCCAATTGAGGCCATTAAGCCCTTTAAAATCCGCAAATTTTTCTGTCATCCTTTGAAATTCCCCAATTTTCGGTCCTTTACATTGTCAATTTATTTTCCTGATATCCCTTCAATTCTTTAAAATTCACGAATATTTGCCCCAATTTTCCTCCAACATTTTGCTAAAATACATCTCAGATGAATCTGCAAAGATGGGCTGGCTATGATCCAATATCCAAATAAAATTGGTATTTTATCTATGGCGAAAAATTCAATTTATTTTGCCAAAATTCCAGCACTAACCATGGGCTATGATCGGAAAAGTAGGTCCTTGAGGGGTTCAAAGAAAGGGGATAAAAAACAGCAACAAAAAGATTGGATACTGAATTCGTTTCTTTAAGGATTCAAATGCGAAACTTCAAAAAAAAAATCTGTTTATAATGTAGTTAAAATTATCAAAATACCGAATATAGGGAGGTACCATGGGGGTTATAAAACGTGGACCTGCACAGACAATTTTCTGTCATAGGCTGTAGTATTCATTACGAACTTCAAATACCAAATTTGAAATAGTTCCGGTTAATAATGTATCTAAAATCATCAAAATTCCGAATATCGGGAGGTACCGTTATATGGGGACTATACGAAGACGTAGACCTGCAGAGACAATCTCCTCTTATAGGCTGTAGCATCCATTACGAACTTCAAATACCAAATTTGAAACAAATCCGATGAATAATGTCGCTAAAATCATCAAAATACCGATTATCGGGAGGTACCGTTATAGGGGGGCTATGTGAAGACGTGGACCTGCACAGACAATCTCCTGCCATAGGCTGTAGCATCCATTACGAACATCAAATACCAAATTTCAAAGAATTCCGGTGAATAATGTCGCTAAAATCAACAAAGTACCGAATATTGGGAGGTACCGTTATATGGGGGCTATACGAAGACATGGACCTGCACAGACAATTTTCTGTCTTAGGCTGTAGTACCCATTTCGAACCTCAAATACCAAATTTGAAACAAATCCGATGAATAATGTCGCTAAAATCATCAAAATACCGAATATCGGGAGGTACCGTTATATGGGGGCTATACCAAAACGTGGAGCTACATGACCCATTTTCAATACTAAAAGTCCTGCAGACATAATATAAATTTGAGTAAGAATTTATCAACCTACTTCAATTCGTTCGGAAGCTAGAGTGATTTCCACAGACGGAGAGACGAATACACGGACAGGCGGACGGACATCGACATAGAAAACGTTAAATCTACATAGAATTTTATGCTGATCAAGAATATACTCTGTGGGGTCTTAAAGGTATATTTCGAGGTGTTACCGACGAAATGACAAACTTAATATACCCTCCATACTATGGTGGAGGGTATTAAAACGAAGAGAACTTTCAAGGATATGTGTCAGAGTAAGAAAATATGAGATATATATGAGATCAAAGTCCTTCAATAGTTGCAACTAAGTAATATTATATTTAAATACCAAGCCACTGTGGCTACAAGACGAGTTATAACGCCTTAAGTTTGGTGGTTGGGAAACAATATCACGCCATAACCTCAAAAATATCCTTGGACAAAATCTGAGTTTTTTATACATTCACCCAAGATTTTCGTACCCAAATTCCATTTTTTCAGGCTCCTCGAAAATATGGTTGTTCTGAGTGGTTACAGTTATGAATATCAATTTTTTAAATAAATATTGAGAGCTTTTTTCCTCACAATTTATGACTGGCCGAGATTATCCCGCAGCAAAAATAAATTCAAATTTTTCCCTCATGAATATCGGACCCATTTCCCCAACAATAGATAATTTAAACATAATTTCCAAGTACATTTATTAAAAAAAATGGAAATTTCCTCTCTTTTTGTATCTCACTCCCCCTTAACCTCTTTTTCTATCACTAATTTCTCCTGTACAATAAATAATTATTATTATCACTGTAACACAAATTATTTAAATTTCTATTTTGAAATTAAAAAAAAAACAAATATTTACAAATGCAAATATGTTTTCTTGTTTGTATGTATAATAAAGCAAACACAAAAACTCACACACCCAACTTATATATGTATGTATGGCATTTTTAATAGTTATAAAACAATAAGTAAACTCGACAAAAAAAAAAACAAAACAAATAAAACATATTTATGTATTCATATAACAAAAGAATGAAAAAAATACAACTGAATAAAAAAACAATAGAAAAAAATATTGGAATCCTGACACACACACACACACACCAACTCTCAGCCATAAAACCCATTACCCTGAAGTGAGCAAAAAAAGAGAGCAGAGTATATAAATAAAGACATAAACCGGGAGGTACATTTAAATGTGTGTTTTAAAAACTTGATAAATTATCAGTTGATGCCTCCTCCCTGCATACT